CGCTGTCTGCTCTAGTGGCTTGGCATGGGGCGGAGCTACAGGAGACCAGATACTTTCTGGACAGGGTCAATGTGCTAACAAATTGCTCACTTGCTCCCTGCGCTAGCTTGGTCTCATCTCTCTTTAACCTGAGGTCTGTTGTGTGCTCAGCTGAGCAGACGTACCTGGACATAGGCTAATGTTTATCAACAAGGCAGAGACTAAGTTGGAGGAGAAAGCAGAAAGATGATCAGTACGGAAAGGGACAAAAAGAATAAAGATGAAGATGGAAAAGAAAATAATGGATTGGGAAGGGAATTGAAGGATATGAGGAAAAGTGGAAAAATCTGAAGGAAAGTCAAGGGACAAGTGGCAAAACTGTAAATTAAGATGAAAGATTAAATTGCGAAGTGGAAATGTTGCAGGCAGGCATGAATCAGAGTGATGTAGAGAGAGAGAGAGGATAGGAAACAGGTGGGATACCTTGAGAGTAGGGAGGGAGGCAGAGCTCGAGTGGAAAGGTGTTCCCTGCCAGGCATCTCCCGGCTTCTGCAGGATGAACCCCATACATGCAGCTGGTGTCCCTATCCCATTTCCTATCCTGACAGCGTTCCCAACATGCATCAGTCTTGAGCTGTGTGATGTCGGGACAGTGCATGTGTCAATCCCCTCTCCTTCTAGAAGAGTTTCATATAGAAAGTTTCAAAGAAGAAAATCTCCAGCGAGGGAAGAAGTAAATTATTGTATATATTCAATTGTCTTGACAGCTCAGCACTCAAATTCCATCACAGATCAGGAGTTTCTGTCTGATTTAGCATAGTTTAAGCTTCTGAACCTGTCCCTCCACTCGTCCACCCACACCAGAGGCCACAGAATACTTTAGTGGTGCCAGAAATGAGGTGTTGTTTCCCTCAGAAGAGGTGCATTCCACCCTGTCCCCTCATGATAAAGGGAAAGGACTCACAACCAGCATGGGCTTTTTTTTTTTAAATTTCTCCTGCATCCTAGACTTTGCCTGACTGCCCCTGGATGTTAAAGAAGCTAAGGTGTTTACAAACAAGATATGCTTTAAGCAACCAATAAAGGTGGGAGAACTAGATGAAGGGTAGTCAGGACGTGGGGATTACCCTTGCCCATGGCACTGAGCTGCTACAAAGCAAGAACAAGGAGCCTGGAAATCTCCTGGAGTTCAATAAGGAGGCAACCATTTTGTACTAGCTGTAATGCTCCTTGCTCTTGGTTTACAAACACTGAGCAAACGTGGGGTTCTGCAGGTTGCTGGCATGATAAGGATCCAAGCACTGAGGGTTGAGTGCCTGCCTGAGAGTCCAAATAAGCACAGTACACCTGATTCACCATTGCAAGATCTTTAGACACAGACACAGCAAACGTGAACTTCCTGGCATAAATGTGCTGCCAGTTGCTGACTGATCACTTTTTGTGATAATCCCTTTTGACTCTCTGTCAACCCAACGCCACCTCTATATATGGCAGTAGGAGATCGGGTGCAGCCCAGACCTAGAGGGGGGGTTATGTGTCTAGGGTGTCCAGGCAGTGGGGAGCAAGGCTGGTTGGAGAATGATAATAACAAGAAGAGCTGGGCTAACAATCCCTGAAATGCTGCAGATGCCTGTAGACTCCAGCAGAGTCACTTAGAGATCCCATTTCATTAGAGGAAGGAGGCAACATTTGAATTTATCAGTTTTACTTATACAGAAGATGTTTTGTTTTTTCCTTAATCAATGGAGTTTCATTTCACCTTGGTCATCTGCCAACCTTGCACAAGGAGGAGTAAAACCATCACTAAGAATGAAAATGCAAGAACAAGAGGCTCTAATACAAAATACACTGGAATTGCATTGGAGTTGTTTTGGTTACAATTTGCGTGACTACAACAGATATAACTCATCCATGGGGATTCAAGCATCCTGGATGTTCTCTGTTATTACAGCCAAGATCAGGAGGTCTCAGGAAGAACTGTAGGCAGAAGGGGTCTGTTCATCGAGCTGAAGCCCTGGGGCCTCCTAGGGCTGAGTTCATTTTTGTTAGTAGATGATCTCTGAAAAATTTAGCAGTTGCCCTTTTCTAACCCATCCTTGGGAACAGCCTGGTGTTTTCACTGGCAGTGTGATTGTCTGTTTGGCTTTTTTTGTCTGGCTATACTGGAATGTAATCATAGCAAATCTGCAGTCACTGAGGGCTGCAGGAGGCTGGCTTGCTGCTGTCTGAACCGCACAGTTGCAGCTAAGACAGCATTTGTCTTGCCCTGAAAGGACCCACAGTCCACTACTCTGATGATTAATAATTTTCTAGTGACACATGGACTGTACTACATAGGTGGCAAACTCATTCCAGCTAGGAGAGGGCAATGATGTGCACCTGGTTAAGGTTACTCCCATTGTAAGGCTAGCAACATGGCTGTAGCCACAAGAGGACAAAACTTAAATGGTTTGTAAACAGCGGTTCTATATTAAAAATAATTTTGCATGGTTAAGGCTAAGAAGAGATGTCACCTCTGTCCACTGATTTCTTGTCAACCTGTTGCTTTTCCCCTGCGTTCAGTTTCTGTGAGGGTCACCATGTTCTTCAGGACTTCTCATTTGGTTCCTTGCAGTTCAGAAAAGACCACTTTTTGGAATTAAATGTATTTTGAACTATTTGCTTACTTGGCATTTGACTCTGTTTCAGGTTGTTCTGCTGTTGCCCCAAAAGAATTTTTTTTACCTTCAGAGATTGGATCTCAACCCAGTGCTCTAGTGGATGCACTTTTTTAGGAGAGGAAAGTTCTGTGGGACTTCACCAAGCTTGGACACCTTTATGTTTCTGTGCATATACCTACCCCCTGTAACAGACTGCAGTGTAGGGACTCCTTCAGCCATGAAGCTACCTCTTCATGTCAAGTCTGTGCTGTGAAAAGCTGTTAGTTCATGTCCTAGGAGCAATACACCTATGTCTATAGGGTGTTTTGTCCATAACTGTAGTTCTAAAGTTTCAGCAGGTCTGTCTAATTCAGGAGTAACAACATGCTGATGAGGCAATGTTACTTTATGCTTTTGGAGCAAGGTTGGTCAGTGCTTACAAAAAACCCTTGGTTCTTTGAACCACACAGGTATGTCCTTTGTATGATGTTCTGTAGTCATGCCTATGCATTTATATTTGTGTGCATTCCTCCTTTATACCCACTTCCCACTTTGATCTGACTAGATAGATCCTAAGCCTCTGTCTGTCACTAATGTTTTCTCTAGGCTAGTTGAATATTGCTGCTTGATTTGAGGTGGGGTTTTTTTGGGTTACATTTTTTTGGGGTGTGAATATTTTGATTATCTGCATGAAATCCCTTGTCTCTCCTTCTGCATTTGGCATATGTGGAACTGACAGCTCCAGGGAGGTAAATGAATGCCACTGTGTTTCAGAGGAAAAATTATTGCATGCAATTACCCTAAAAGTGCATGAGAGAACAGAGTGAAAGGAATGAGGGAGAGAAAGAGAGAGAGCATGAGAGAGAGTAATCACAACACTTCGACAGGTTTACCCCATCGTGTTTGAAAATCTTTCACTCTGACAAGTCCCCTTTGTGAAAGGTGTAGACAGATAACCAGACATTAGCTCTTTGAGGTCCTCTTCAGTGGAGGGTAATCAATAGAATGACCAGTGCACTGGTCCATTTCACTAAATGCCTCTCCCTGATATTTTTTACAAACTAGATGTACCCCATTTCCCTCTTCATATCTCACTTTGGCTCTCTCATTCACTTATCAGTGGTTCCTCAACAGATGCATCTGAGTCAACGTTAGGTTGACTTGTGGGTCTTTCTGTATAAATTATAATGTATTTGTTCTGAGAAGGGGTGCAGTAACAAAAGGCTGTGTCCCCAGTCCCTCTCTATCTCTTGAGCCTTATTAAAAGGCCAAGGAAATGGGAGGTTTTGTAGCTTCATTATTCATGTCTGAGAAGAGATTCAGTAGAAGTAGTCCTTGTCCTGACTCTGCTGCTATTTCACCCACCAACTCTGTTACCCCCTTGGTCCCATCTGCACATCAGGGGAAGCTGGTGACAACAGCCCATGTCCACCTGGAGGCCTCATGCATCTATGTTCACAAAAATATGTAAAATGTTTTGAGATCCTCAGGTAGAAACTGCTGGCCAGGGTAAATGGTTAGTGTAATGGTTTCTCACCATGCTTTCAAAGAGGCAGGACATTTGCCATATTGGCAAGGAGGGAAGCGCTGGGCTAAGGGATGCTGAGCCAGGTCACTTTTTGTCACCTGCACCTGCAGCTCTCACAGCAAAGCCAATGCATTAGTCACACCTATTTGCACTTTGAGGTTATTTACATAGCAGGTTGTTGTGTTAGGGAAGCTAAAGTCTAGCATATGCCCTAAAATTAGGCTTTCCCCCTTTTGGTTGGTGTCAGAAAGGAGTGATTCACAGGTATGGGGGAAGCCTCTCCACATAGTCAAAGCAGTTACCATTTTAAGTAAGAGAGTTATTTTCTAGGCGAGATAAAACAGGTTAGCTGAAGCTGCCTCCAGGGACTGTATCCTGCAGTGTGAGATGAGGAGAACACGGGGAGCACCGCACTGTGCTGCAGGTAACACTCAACACAACTGGCTACACAGCCCTCTTTTCCTGGCCTTGTGTGAAATGGCCACTCCATGCGTGTGCCCTCACCAGCAGCACATGCTTCTTGTCAGTGCATCTTCATGCAGCTCCTTCCCCTCCTGATGGTCACAGCAGGTACGTGTTATCACATCTCCTGGCCTGCATCATGTGCGCTCTCACTGCTCACTGTGTTTTCTGCCAGAGGAGCTGTGGGCTCTGGTCTTGTTCCTGGACAGCTAATGGAGACTCCAATTTTGCTTCCAAAAACTCAGACTTCATCCCCATGGCTTCCAGAAACTCCAGAAATGATAAATCTGTGGCTCAAGTCAAAATTCTGGATTCTTTTAAACTTTCTTTTTCTCTCTTTCTCTCTCTCTCTTTCTCTCTCTCTCTTTCTCTCTCTCTCTCCCCTTCTGCAGGATGGTGGAGTACTCCCTGGATCTCCAAAACATTAATTTGTCTGCAATCCGTACTGTCCGTGTCCTGAGACCCCTGAAAGCAATCAACCGTGTGCCTAGTAAGTCATGTTTCCCTGTCACACCTGCTCAGCTCAGTTTTTGGGGAGTACATGACCAATAAGGCTGCATGTGGTGGTGTTCTCCAGGCAGGGTTCGGGTACAAACTGAGTGGAGGCTTCTGCAGGGTATGTGCAGGTTTTTACCGATCAAAGGGCCAAGAGGTGTCATAGGATGGGCAGGAAAACAAGAGTTTCCCAGCATATCTGGTCATGGGTATTCTGTGCACAGCCATTTTGATGGCACAGGAACTGAAGTTGAACAATGTGCAGTAAAGGAAAGTGGGTTTTTCTTCCCTTTGCTGAAGAGCGTTGCAGGTTTGACAATGTCTTCAGCCTCAAAAAGGGCTGTGCGAAAGGTCTAAAGAGGGATGAGCTTGGGGAAGCAGGAAAAATTGGTTAGCTCATGCTTTCACATGGTTTTCCAGATCCTCTCCTCTAAAAAATTTTCATGCCATTACAGCTTAGGGTCGTGTAATACTGACTGTTTTTTCTTTCCTCCTTGCCTTGTGCTTTGTACTCCCTCTTTTGTGCCAACCATCCCCGCTGTGAGCTGGCGTGTGTATGAGCCAGGCTGAGCACTACTGGGAATGGGGATGCCAGGGCTGTGCCTGAGCCTGGATGTGTCAGTAGCCAAATTGCTGCTCACCAGCACCATTTTAGTTTGACATACAGCCCTCAGCTCAGGTCTGCATCTAAACCAGAGATATGTTGTAGCCCTGGGGCATATCCGTGCACGTGCACTGCACCCACAGTGGAGGTGGTCCATTCATAACCCTTGCATCTTCCCTTCCCAGAGGATGGGGACGAGACCACCCTCTTCACCATGCTTTGAAGTTTTCGGTGGTGCTGAACTTCTTCCTTCACCTTCCCTTCCTTTGTCTCCCTTGTTTTTCTTTTTCTCATCAGTGGTGTTCTCCTTGCAATCCTGAAGCAAGTAAGCAAGCATTGCTATTGTTATTGAACTGCAGGAAACATGCAGGTGGCTCAGGTTTTTCAGTGGTTGTATCCAGGTGTATGGAAGTGAACTGGCAGACAGGATGCATGCCATTGAGATCAGGGGATTGCGAGAGCACTGCACTCAGCCTGCCGTGTCACTCTGATGTTTCAGGCTGTTCCCTGTGCAAAGGCAGCAGCTCCCACATGCAGCCCCATGACACTTCCCCATAATCTCCCTAATCAGATCGTATGCAGTGGCTAAGACCTCACCAGAGCTCTCCTAATCCTTCTCTCAAGCTCAGATGCTTCTTTTTCTTTTCCAGTTCTGAGGGAGTTTGCACAGTTGACCCAGTCTGCATCATATGCTTTTCCTTGTGCTAAAGTCACTTCCATGATGACGCCTATTTCCTGAACATGTTGTGGAGGTGGATTTGAGGGTCTCTAGTTCCATGCAAAGCCCTTCTAGAACAGAGTCTTGTCCCTCTTCCTAGGTACACTTTTGACTTTGAGCAACAGCCATGAGCAGAGAGTGCTGAAAGGTGTGATGGAGAAACTGAGGCACAGTCCTCTGTGCCCAGCACGGCAGGAGGATGCCAGGCAGAAGAGCAGCTGGTTGGGGCGCTGAGAACTATACCCAGGAACGTAACAAGTCCATCATGGGGTGATAAGGACGGGAGTCAACACAAGCTTTTGGCTATTGACTGTCAGCAGAACAATTCCCCCAGCCTGTCTCCATCTCTCTGGCGCTTCTTCAGAGGGGGGAGAGGACAGGGAGCCAGTCCTGGTCCTGGCAGTGGGTATGCACTGTAGTGTCAGGAGGCACCCTTTCTGTGAGGGGTAGGCTGGAGGCTGTGCATGGCAAGCTAGCCCCTTGCAGAAAGCGTACTGCCAGCTATGTGAGAGCAACACCATCCTCATGTTATGCAGCCTCCTTTCCTCCCTGCTTCATCAGGAGTCCCATGAGTTTGGGCTCAGACTACTTTGAGACTGATCCCTGTTACAGGGTAGACTTAACCCTGATGGAGAGCAGAAACATCCTGAGTGACATCCAATTACCTCCTACAGGTGTCTGCCATTTTAATTGATGGACACTGGTGGTCAGGAGCAAAGACTGACAGAAAATCAAGGCCGCCTTCTATTTCTGTTTATCTTCTGGAACAGCCAGAGATGCCCCAGGGAAGAGTAGTGTGAGCCACGTCAGAACTGACCCATCAGGGACCTGCTCCATGCATGCAGAGGCACCAGAGATGCTTTTCATCATCTCTCCTGACCTTTGCAGAGCAGAGGCCATTGAATTTCCTCTGGCTGTCCCTGCCATGACACTACCTGTCTGCTCCTTTTATCAGTATGAAACTTTACCTGTATGAAATTGATGCTGTTTTATTTCCACTCTGTGGTTAAATATTTATGTATTTTTCTTGCTACGTAAATCTGTGGTTATATGCAGAGAATGTTTTGGAAGAAAGACATCTTGTCATTAATTAAAAAACAAAAAACCAAACCAAAACAAAAAACAAACCTAAACTGGATTCCCTGGGAGAGGAAGCATTGACTTGAGGGCTGAAAACTGGCGAAGAGGCTGTAAACAAAGGCTGGTGATAAATGGAGCTGCCTAGTGGGCTACAGCAAACATAATTAATGGGACCTTTGGCCACAAATCTTTTTTTAATGCCTTTTTAAAGTTCTTCATTACAGATCTGAAGTAAGAGGAAAGTCTATTAGTGAGATGTACTGATGATACCAAGCTGGAGGTGTTGCAGGTGCTAACAAAGAAAGTGGGAAATCAGACAAAAGGAGGTAGAGGGAGATTGAGGTCATGGTTGTGAGTGTGAGATATCTGGAGAGAGGCGGTAGGGTTAATCTCAAAGGCAGATATTCAGCCATGTCCAAAAGGCTGTGACGGGACATTGTGGCCCAGTGTTCACCAGTGGCCATTTCAAAGGCTTCCACGTGGGCACCTGGGTAGGGACAGATTTTCACAGAGAAGTCTGGCTGTGTGGACTGAATAAAGGCAGACTATTATTAGGAGAATGGACAAAGTGATTAGGAACCTGACTGATTACAGTATGAGTGGAAGAATGCTCAAGTGTCTGTTGGGGTAGATTATTTAGCGCCCAAAGAACAGTAACACTCGACCAATTAGCTAGTGTTTGAAAAGTCCACATACTGAAGTGAAAAATTTCTGGAGAATTTTGAGAGAAATTTCATGCTACATGACAGAAAAAAAATAATGATGTCAGAAAATTAGAAGAGAGGAAATTCACAAGGAGTTTTTAAGGAAACAGTAGCAAACATGGTAGAGGAAAGAGTGTCACCTGTTAAATAAGTTAAGTAAACTTATTTTATACTCTTGGCAGGTGGGCAAGGCTGAAGTTTAAATGCCCAAATCCAAATTGGGTATGTCTAAATACTGCTTACCCATGCTCATTTCTTAACATGTTACTGAAAGCCCTTCCTCGCAGTGAGACTTCTGAGGCTTTGAAACAATATCGCACAAGGAGCTGACAAACGCTATTTGTGTGTGCCATGCTCATTATCTATGGTGTAAAGGATGCATAGACTCTCTGAATCATGACAGTAGAAGAGAAGGACATCCAATGTAATCAAAAGGTGGTAAATGTCCATTAAGAATTACATTCTCCACCCAGTTCATAATTAGGCTGTAAAACTCTCTGCCTTTGGGAGTCCTTCCAGTCTCAAATCAACTAAGATGCACTGTGTAAGTAAAGGAAGCAAAATGGGATTTTCCAGGGGAAGCCCCATCCCTGGAAGTGTTCAAGGCCAGGTTGGATGGGGGCTTTGAGGAACTAGTGGTTCTTGTCCATGGCAGAGGAGCTGGAACTAGATGATCTTTAAGGTCACTTCCGACCCAAACCACTCTATGATTCTGTGAGAGCTCACACAGAGACACTTCTAGATTTCCAACTTTCTTATGTCAGGGTTAGAGCTGATCTTTAGCTACTGGTTATAAGCAACTGATTGCATTTTTTGCAGTTCTCAGCAGGATGTGCTACAGACCATTGACAGATTTCCCTTCTGAATGAAGAAGCCTGGGGTTCTGCCACACTTGATCATGTCATTTCCATTCTCATGTCATCTTTGAAGTGTACTAGAGAAAACATGAGGAGCCCTAGTTTTGTAATATGTATCACGCCTTCTTCAACATTCCTTCTTATCTCTTGCATTCTTGATTACAACCCCAGGAACTCAACCTTTTGGGGCTTTTTTCGAAAATGTGAGGGAAAAAATTAGAGATAGTTCTGGTCCTATTAGCACGTGATTTGATTCCATGGCAGTGAGTTGGTGTGACAAGCCCTGCAAGTCACTGAAGAAGTGTAAAAAGGAAAAAAAATACCCTCCAGATCTTGTCAGGGGTAGTTGCTTTCTGTTCCAGGCATGTCTGTGTCCTATTCTGGGGGTGAAATTCCACATCCATTTGTTGTTATTATCATTTTGTGATTGTGTGTCAGGTTGCTAGGTGAAACATTGCTGCTTGCAGCTCTTTCATTGCTTCTTCTCATGGCAAGGCACAAGATCTGGAGGGGGAGGCTGGTTTGGTTTTATTTCTGCCTACTTTTGAGTCATTTTTGATAATTTGAATTTCTTGCACTTCTGTTATTAAGTTTTTTGACATTGGAGCAGAAAATGTTTCTTCAGTTTATTCTTTCTTGTTGCCAAGGCCTTATGCAAAGAAAAGCCCTTGCATTATATTTGATGTCTTCGAGTTTCCTCTTATAATTTAGTAACTGATTCATCATTTGGAAGCAGATTATTTCAGCTGACCACACTGTATGGAACTGAAGGAGTCTGTTGCAGTGTTGCATAGCAACTTTATGGAGTAGAAAGGGTATACATGTGCTAATACTCGGTGTGTAAGTGCAGTAATATGTATGTGGAGTTATAAGCATTAGAAATATGTTATATGTTTATTACTAGCTGTGCAGGAAATAGAATTTCAGATTTGTGGGGAGTTCCGCTTTTTCTAAATGTGGTTTATTTTTAGTCACAACAAAAATAATCTTTTCCCATCCATTTTAACATGGCCTTATGCTGCCTAATTTTAG